CGTTATTCACACGCTGAGCTAACAAAACGCATCCTGCACCTTGTGGCAGCCAAAAAGTCAACAGACTGCTGTGCCCCAACTAAAACTGAACAACAGCTCTGACTGCGTAAAGGATATGCCGTGCTGTAGTCATCGGTGGGTCGACGCTTCACAGGCCTGTGCAAGTTCTTGCCTGCCAGTATGGCAAGTGAAACACGGCACTGGAAAGTGATCACCCGAAGACACAATCAGTCCTCGCCCTCAGGGCCCGCAACGTCGGGATGACATAGCCTCGGCCGGCCCTTTCAAGCATAAGCATGCCACGTCGAAATGCTGACATCGCATCCGACCTCAGGCCCCGGCTTTTGCATGTCATAATATTTCCTTAGCTAGGAAACACCATCACTCGGATCGGGTCGGCGGCGTTGGCTTGGGTCCAGTGCAGCTGAGCCTCTTCTTGATCTCGGTGTCTTTTGCGCTCGCATCGGTTCCAAATAACTCCTGAGCCGCCCAAACTAACACCGGCCCTCAGAAGGGAAAACTGTCTTGAAACCTGTACTTCGTGATTAGAACCTGCTAGACAGTGGTCATTACCTCATACTCTCTTTTAGCTAGGGGTTTACGGGTTCGGTGTGGGGGGAAAATGCCATGTTCGCTAGTTGGATGACCTGGTGTTAAAGTGGCCCACACTATGGTTGGTGTGAATTGTACCGAAGTACCCTGCATCTGCGAATTCTGATTGTGGCTCAAATGGGCTACAACAAATATGGCTTCTAGGATGCTACCACAGCGGTCAGCCATTGAACGGGTCCCCAACCCTCCCACTCAGCCGCGCCCAAGGCACATACAAACTCGTGGGCGACGGCACCCCCCCCTCCACGGCGGCGATCTGAGCCTTCGAAACGCGGAGAGAAAAGGCTCGAATTTGGATTCTGGGAGCCATGGTGAACCAATGCCAAATGTGCCATGGTCAAACTCCTTATGGCCAAGCCCAAGCAACGGGGCGTTTTGACCATGGCAGGTGGACGTCAAACTCGGGGACCATCCACTGTCTCATGTATTGACAATGACAACTGGCACAGAAATTGCACATAAAAATGGCCATGCATCCGAGCTCGCCTCGTCCGCTGGAACAGGAGGAACAGGGGCCTTAGCCAACAGTTTGACGAACCTCTCTGCACTTCTCAACACCGGCGTTCGCAAGGGAGAGGACTGCCAAGCCCTATCAGCCCCCAGGTATCCAGCCTGTTCAAATCACAGGATTCCCAATCTTTCTCTTTTAAACATCACCCACCAAAGGCAACATCACTCTTAACAACTGGCAACCAAAAGCCGACGTGTCAAATCGCCAAAAGAAACTCAGCCATTATGTTCGACACCGGCGAACACTTCCTGCACAAAATCCTATATTTTGAATGAAGCTACTGGAAAAATGGGATCAACCACTGGTGCCCCGTTTGCATTGCGTCCATAGACCTCTCGCCACGCGGCTCGACGGACATCCTGCTGCCACCTTCCGCAGTTCGGGTCGCGGCAGCTCTGCGTCCTGGCCAAAGCGATTCAACCCGGGCACCTCCCGACCAAAAAAATAAGTTGAATTGAATTGCGGTTTTAAGCACAGAAGTTGTCCAAAATCATGGCTCCCCGGCCAACAATTGCAATTTCCCCCCCCCCCCCCCCCTCGCTTTGAGCTTGGACTCAGCATTAGTTTCCATTTAAAACATGAAAATGCCCCGAGACAATGACGGTTTCCCTTTGGTTTTGCTTTAGGTGTCCTTTTAGGTGTCCTCTTTAAAGCAGAAAAATTGTCCACTTCCTGTTAAGCATGGGAATGCCACGAAAAAGTTGTCGCTTCACCCTTTGGTCTCCCTTAGGAGTTCCTTTTGGGTTTCCACTTTAAGAATGGGAATTGCCCAAACAATTGCGGCGTTCCCTTTGGTCCCCATTGAAACATGGGAATCCCCCAACAACATGGTGATTCTCCCCTTTGCGTTCCATTTGGACTTGACCAACTCGTGGTGTTCCTTTTCTGGGCATAGCCTCAGCATGGGTAAGCCGCAAGTTGGTGGTCATTGCAAGGGGTGCCCTCTACCCCACGGTCACACAATGATTGCTAGACCATGGTCCATTGTCCCTCCTACGTGATCCTGTCACACTGAAACATTGTGTGCTCAATGCGCCCATCGACTGAATTTGCAGCGCATGTACCGGAACCTGCCACTCCCCGCCTAGACTTTCCTGCCAACAGGCTTCTGCCCACGCCAGCAGTGATGGCGGCTGTAGCCGCAGCGATGCTAGCAAGAACAATGTCAGGCATAACCTGCGCCAGGCTTGCTGGAAAGCGTACTTGAGAACCAGGGTCAGAAACTTTGCGAATGATTTCAACTATGTTTCACTAGATAGTAGAGGGCCAAGTGATTGACAACCACCCAACTCAGTACGTCATGTCTGAACATACACACACACACAGACACATAGGCGCGCACAGGCACACAAATAGAAAAGCCATTCACTGCAACGAACTAGAGAAACACTTGATGGCCACAATAAACCACTGGTGAGGATTCAAAACAGCTTCGTCACTTCTTCGGTCGTCGTGCTGACCGGGAAAAAAAAGCATGGCAAAAGTCGCCGCCGCCTGTGAGCCGTGCGCCTGGGCGGCAAAACGCATCGTCCTTGTTGGGGGCGAGGGTGCCTTTGTGCCATGTTTGTGCCTGTTTGTGCCATTCAACAGCGCAAGCCGATCTACTTGAAAGCATGACAGCACTCAAACAATGACAGAACATGTGCAACATGATGGTCAACAAATGGAACGACCTCTGTGTCACACCCTTTCGCGGGCTGCTGCCAAGTGAAACGATCGCCAAGTAGTTTGACTTGAAACTCATTGTTGCCAATTTGGATATGCAAGAGCAAATGAAACCCTATGTGATACCAAGGTGGCATCCCGTTGGCTTGACATCTGGGAAACAGACATGCCAAGTGAAGGGAATGGCCTTCTCGCTGCAGTCTAATAGGTTGCCTCGATGGACCCTTGATCTCCCGGACGCCGAAGGGGCATGTCGAGCTTTGCCAGGGGCATGGAAGAAACTGCTTTTTTGTTTGCCAGGGGCCATTTATGGCCAACCTGTTCAACCTATTCAACTGTTCTCAAGGTTCCAGGGCCTCACCCAACTTCTTTGGCATCTCGTCAGTGCGCCGTTTTGGTTGGTACCCTGTGGCTTCAAAGGGACTTTGAAGGGAAACCGTCATTTTGGGGTTGAGACAACCCGGCCGAGTCACGCCGGCACTCACCGGCGCCGTAGCATGCGGCGGCGCGGCCAGCGTCCTACGATGCGTGCATCTTCTGTTGGGAAGGAGGGACCCTTGTTGCAATTCTTAAGAGAAACCAAATGGATCCCAATGGCATGCCTTGCTTCTTGGGATGCTGTGGTGAACAAAAGCGCAAGGCTGTTCATGCCTATGAAATCGATTCTCGTGGGGATTGCACCGTCCCACCATAGCAAACCACGAAGCGCAAGCTCCCCAGCCAGTCCTCGTCGACACCATGGCCTGGCGAACCACAGACGGCTTGTTACAAGGTGCAAATTGGTGGGTCCACCCTGCCTCCCCACCAACTTTGCAGGAATTCCATCCCGATGCCAGCCCCGAATCAGCTTGCCAAAGCATCATGATCTGTCCATCCGTCGCCATCTCTTGCCATATCTCGCCCATGACACATGATCGGAACCACCTTCTAGGATCATGATTGGGAACCCACAAAATCGCTGGATTCCCGGCAAAGCCGAAACTTGTTGTCACGAAATGCAGGACCATCCTCTTGCTTTTCGAGGGACCCGGAAAACAAGAAATTTACAGTGACCTCTAAAACAGGCCAAGATGCGGTAGCCTCCAAAAGCTGTCTGATCCACGAAATCTCCGTCCCCATCGCCTGGGGCGAGAGCATTGCCAGGCGAGTCACCACAGCCGCCACGGCCGCCAAGAGAAGCTGTCCTGCGCGCATTGTTTGGGCTTAAGCTACATGAGTGGGTCTCAAAACACGGGTTTTAGAACCCCCCTCCCCCCACAAAATAAAAGGAAAAACACCATCAAGTTAAAAACAGCAATAGTGGTTTGTCTATTTCCCCCCAAAACATGGTGGCCGCCCTGTGGTTCTCTTTTGAACAACCCAAAAACGAAACAAGATACACCCACACAGGTTGGCGCGTTGAAGTGCGCTGGCAGGCACACTCGGCCCCAACAAGAAGGCTGACGGGAGTTGCCTGTAGGCAAATGCATGTCGGAAAGAGGGGACAATGTGCTGTAATCAGAACTGAAGTTGGAACCTGCTACAATTAGGAACGCTTTCAAGTGCCAAAACATGCATACAAGAAGGAGGTCCCGACTTTAAACTTTAACCGGTTCCAATCCTGCATACCGTCAGCTTGGAGTAACCTTGCAAGGCAGGAAAACGACTTGATCATGAACTGTGCACATCCGGCCTCGCATACCACACCGCCATGCCATTCGAGCCATGCCGCCGTAGCTCCGCCAGCTCCAAGTGGTGAACCCCCCGCTTCCCGGTGACTCGCCAGCAGGGAGAGTGCAGCAACAAATTGGCAGCAAATTGTTTACGAGTTGAACGTGGTGGCATCAAAACAGAGGAGAACATGACTGCGATGAAACGCGCACCACACGTTTAAGTTTGACAAATGGTGCCATGCCATGCCAAAAAGGGCTCAACAAAACCAATGCAGGACAACTGGCAGAAGCACAATGCCCAGAGAAGTCTGATCAAAATCATGTCTTTTTTCCATTCATGGTATTTCAGGTTGCCAAGTGGCAACACTACGAGCCGGTACAGCAAATTCGAGCAACATGACCACAGGCTACTGTCGGACATGTGTCACCCTCTCTTTGGCAGTGCTACACCAACTGCCTTTTTTTGGAGGGGTCGCCAGCACTCTGACACACGGCCAAGGAAGCCGCTCAGTGCCGGTGCATCTTCGCCACTGACATCATCCAAAAGATGAGGGCCAGGCATTCACGGCCGACAGATCTGCCAAATGACAAATCAAACGCCTCGCCTCAGGGAGCAAACGCATGCAGGTGCAAGAATATGGGGGAACACACCAATCCCGACCCAAGCAGAAGACGACTTCTGAGGCAAGTAAAGGCCCCTTCTCAAGTCTTGTGCAACAAATTATCTGCTCAGTTTGGAAGTTATCCAAAACAAATGTGCATATCTCAAACGTGTGTCCCCTGCAGATCTTGCTCAAAAAAACATCCACTTTGATTTGAGACAATCCCCAGACCTTGCATTGGGCCGAAAGCATCCGGATGTTTCTAAAAAATAGGGACCCTTCCAAGCGAGTAGTTTTTTCTTGGTGTTTCCCTTGAAACCAGGGGACAAAAGGTAGCCCTATGTTGCGAAACACCCATCCACTTGTGGGCAACTGCCTCGCCTCGTTGGGGTCGCAGAGCGGGCCGCGGCAGACTTCGCGGAAGAGCCCAGTAGTGGCAGCCACAACCTTCAGAGTCCAACTCGCGACGGGCCGCGGGTCAAAACCAAGGCGGCGATTCGGGGAGCACGTGAACATGTGATTGCCACAAAGGCCTGCAGAGCTCAGGTGCTTCCATAGATTTTGATTGATTGGACCCTCCTCCATCCTCCCCGCAGCGTCTTGCACACATTATCTGAAAAGAGAAGAACTTGCCAGCTGGAGTCCCTGTACCCTTCTTGCTCTTGACAGCTGGACCCATGTGGGTCCCTGACAACTGGCCGCGCACTTGGAAGATAAGTATATATAGGAACTCGTGTTGGTTCGACCCTGGGCAGACGATCAACTACAACCATGGTTAGGATGTCAGGCTGCCCAAGAATTCCTATGGTTGAAAGAGAAGGGATTGGCAAGGCAGCTTTGGGCGGCTGGAACGATTCTCGAACAAACCAGCAGGGGGTGCGTGCCTAACAAATCTGCCATTTCGCTTGGCGCAGTTTCCTGGAAGGCCAACTCCAGGACTCCAGGCCTCGTCGTCGTTCAACTGTTTGGTGACCTTCCACAGATTCTCCGCCTGCAAGCAGCTTATCTCTTAGACCAAAGGAAGGAACCACCGAACGGGCATGCTACCATGGCTCCTGCGCGTAGTATTCCAGCAGGCACGTAACGACGTAGTCGTTACGCGTGCATTCGGAGAGATATGGCCGTCGGCGACAATTTCCTTTTTCTAAAATGAATTCCAAACACAAAACCCCACACATTTACAGCCTTTGCTCCTTTCTCAGAAACCTCCACCCGTCATCCATCGAGACTTCAGTCCAAATTTCATTGCTTTGGTGTCAAAGGGCGCTTCTTCCACAGCCTTCTCCAACCCCAGCATTCCCACACCTTGCTTGCTGGAAGAAAACTTGCAAACTGAGAAAGTCAGCAACAAAAAAATCCAAGACTTTACAATCTGTCAACCATTGGATGTTTTCACAAGGAAACTAAGAAGACTCAGACTTCAGAAACAATTAAACAAAAGTATCCGAAAAAGGAATCGTTAAAAACCGGACAAAACAGTTGCAAGGTGCAATGTGCAATATGAACTTTGCTTGTTTTATGTTGATCACTTTAGAAAATGGACAGCCTTCTTAAAGCAATGTTTTTTTAAAGCCAAAAACATCCTCTAGACATTGGCACTATTTCTGAAATCCAATGGTTGACATCTTTCAAACTCTGAGAAAGACAGTTTAGAAGACTTACAACCTCTTCGAAGAAAAACCGCTACCATCAAATGTTGGCAAAATCAAGGCAAAAAAACAAAAGCACTTACAAACTCTTCGAACTTTCTCAAATCTGAACTGATGTTCTGCACAAGAACAAGTTCTTCAGAAATGCAATACTAGATAAAATTCATGTGTGTAAACTGACTTGAGTGAACAATGGTTCTTGTTGAGCAGCTTACTTTGAGGATTTGTGCAACTTTTAAGTTGAACAAAGAAGCAGCTGTGCGCAGATCTTGATTTTTGCTTTCCGAAATCAATCTTTATTTGAAAAGACTTGTTTGCACTTTTTGGCGCACTTGCGTTGAAAAAACATCAGAGTTGCAAAACTGCCAATCGTGCCAACCTACCCAAGTTTCAACACCAAGACTTCCCTCACTGGTTTGCAGAATTGCCAATTTGCCACACATTTAGGGCAAGTGTTTGTTTCTTTTTCCACAAAACATCCAGCTTTCTTCCAAAGGTTTTTGCCTCTTCTGCAGAATGGACTGTTTTCAGTTTTCCGCTGCTCCTGAATATGCTCTGCCTTAAAGTAGCATTGAAAAATGACCACAGAAATGTTTTGTTTTCTCGTTGTGATTACTTTTTGAAAACGGTAGACGGCCTTTTTGAAGGAAGAACATGTTTCCCAACCCAAAAAGTAAACCTAAAATCTGGTACTTTCCTTCCCTGCAACCGACAGCAGCACTCTCGCTCCTTTGATTGAAGCAACACGCATGAACCACACCAAACGCCGAATGGAGAAACAGTGCGCACCTGCAGTAAAAGCGCTGCGCGCTGGAACATGGCTGGATCTCCCACGCAGCCCACACGAAATGTCGTGTTGAATGTGACAAACAAGGGAAACGAGCTCGTTTAGCGCAGCGACGCGTTCGTGCAGTCACAATAAGAGTTGTTGGAAAATGCGAGATCCTACACGAAATGGACCTTGCAATCACAACAGCAATGTTTGTCTTCGTTGTGTCCAAAACAACGACGACGACCAAAACCACGACCGCGACCACTACCACGACCACCACCACGACGACACGACCATGACCACCACCACCTCCACCAATGACGACGACAACGACAACGACAACAACGATGACAACAACAACTGCAGCGGGGGCGGGGGCGCCGCCGCCCGAGGCAGCAGCAGCAGCAGAAGCAGCAGCGAACATGCTAGTCTCGCTGAAAGCAGCGCGTAGCTTAACTCAACGCTTCCCACCAAGGTTCCCTCAAATTGCAAAAACTACGCACAAGTACATGGTTGGTCTTCGACCCCGTGCAGACAAGTAAACTGTTCCTGCAGAAATGTTCTCTGTTTGCAGGCTACTAGGGAAACAGTGACAAAGATGTACAAGGTCAAACCAAGGCCACTGAGGACAAGAAGCCAAGCAACCGACCCACCAACCCACCAACCCACACACAGACCGACCATCCGCCACCACTGTTGTCGCCTGGACGTAGCGCTTGCCCTTCCAGTCCCTGCAGGACACCAAGAAGGCGCCTCCGTCCATCTCCTGCGTCGCAACCTTTCACCAACCGTCAAAGAGCCTGAATCTTTGGCTTCAAAAGACAGACATACAGACCATCAGAAAATCTCAGTCGATAGAACCCTTTCAATTGCTGTGGTTGCTCCCTACCAAAGAGTTGATGACCCTTCTCTGCTATCCCCAAGTAAAAGGGTTTTGACCCTGGCATGGCGGTGGCTTACACGACATTAGTCTCCCCTCAGAGAGCAAGTGGACTGCGGCAAACTCGCCGCCCGGTCCTCTGTTCCAACCTGCGAAGGGAGACTGGCGCCAGACGGCTGAACCACCAGCTGAGCTGCCGGCCGACGGGAAGTTCGGCGGCAAGCTGATGACCCGACACCTCAAGGAGTTCCCCTAAAAAAAGAAAAAAGTGGGCTGGGTCACTCAAATCGGGCCCGCACCTCTCCCAGCGAGGCAGACCATTTGGAGTGCCCTGCAAGGCGAGCATACTTGTCGTGGCTCCCAGCAATTAACATTTGCCGAAACACCGGCAAAATGTCAAGCCCCATGAAACCTCGCCTGCGCCCTATGCGACCACACACGGCAGACTTTGCAGTCCGTGTGCTTCACGAGCTGTTGGAAACCCCGCGTAAAACCGTACTTCCTTGCAAAAACAACTACAGCCAAATTTCGCGCAAAACGCGCCGTGGGCACTCCCATGATTCCCTCCCAGAGGATTGTCTCTTATGGTTGACTCCCTACTTGCAACTGGAGAAAATCACAATGTCCTCTGCCATTGCAAGGAAGTCCGCGACTTGATCATTGGCGCCCGATCGAGGAACCGCAACTTGGATGCGTCAGGCTCGGGGCCTGCAGCGCCCACGCCTCGGCGCAAGCCAGGCCCCCCATGTCTGTGCACATTGACGGCTGGGGAGCCCGCCAAGTCATTCACCTGGCGGCCAGCAAGCCCCCCCCCCCCCGCCCCGCCCAAAGAAATGGAACGCACCAACAAAAAAAAACGCGCAGAAGCGACCGGTTCCGCTTGCACCCACAGACCTGCCTGCAGATCCCCGGGTCGCATGCCCAGCAGGATGCCCTGCGCCAGGTCCGACACCAGCTGCAGCAGGGCCTCGGGCAACTCAAACGCCACAGAGCGGAATCAAAGCACCCCCTTTTTATGTACATACACATCATATGGGTATGGGCCGTCAAAATTAAACCGCGGGGGACCGCAGGTTTTAGTCCTTGGTTCCATTTACCAGGATTCCATTTTGGGTACCTATTTTTGACCCACACCCATATATTTGCACGTACTGTTCAACTCGCGCGGATACACCTTCAGCGGGGAATCTTAGCCTCATGACCAAATGAAATCGGCCAACGACGGCAGGGGTCTTTGAAAAGAACAGTCTGCCCATGTTCAGCCTGTCTGTGGAGCAAAAAGGCAAGCTGCACACTGCAATAAAATGTTATGCAAATGAACCTTTCGAAAGTAGCCTGACACGACAGGGTTCATTCAAAAGAACGCAGTGGCGAGGCGTGCGGACCGCGGCACAGATCCGATCTTAAGCCCCAGCTGGGGCTAGTAAACAAAAAGTCTCCGGCTGCCCCTTCCCCCGCCCCCACCAACCAAACGGCGGGTTCCCTGAAACAAACGCCATGTTCAGGCAACCGACTGCATGCTACTTGGAACTGGCTGTCAACTAAGGAAGGCTCGCGAAGGGCGGCAGCTTGCTGCGGATCGGCCTGAAGCCTCGGAAAGAAGGCTTCCGCAGGATCTGTGGATCCCTCAACGGGCGTGAGATGTCCAAGTGGCGCCCCTTTGGTCAACATCATCGTTTTTGAGGGGATTCCGAATTCAACAAATGTGATACTCAAATGTAGGCATCGGTCCCTTGAAGACATGACCATGTGACCGCTATTGCCTTCCTTGGTATCCCGGCACAGGACGGGGCACTCGACTGCGACGACCCACAGCCTGGCAAGAGCAAGAGGGATAAGACTGCCTTGCTGTTGCACAAACTCATTGACACAGCTGTTGCACAAACTCATTGACACAGCCATGTTGAGTGTGCTTCCACTTTCTCGGCAGCAACATGTAATTAGTGTTCAAGGCTCCACAACGAAAATTGCCCCTTGAAAAGAAGCAATCAACCACTGGAAGCGCCCCTTGTGACAGCCGGCTCGTACATGCCATTGCATCAAGAGCGCCGCTCACCTCTTCCTCCAGAGCAGCCCGCGCTTTCCCTGTGTGGGTGATGTCCAAACATCTCTGCCTCGCATGGCCAATCCCCGACGGGTCTTCAATGGTTCTTTTCAAAAAGGACACATCCTGAGTCTCACGGGTGCCCTCAGCCAAGCCCCGTCTCCCGAAGGGTTTACGCCAACGGGTGCGGGTCCCGATTCGATGGAGCGAAAGGTGGCCCCACGCCAGGGCCCTGGCAAGCCGGTCATCAGGCTCCACAGGAGGCCGTGCCGGAAGTATCTGGGACAGCGCGGGCATGTGCGTGGATTGGTGCGATGCGAGCCACTATCAAAACCTGGTATAAATCAAAGGAGTCTTCCCCAAATCATGGCCAGAACTTCAGAACCAAAGCGCGGCAAGTGCCGCATCTGGTTTCCCAAAAACAATCCCTGGTTTCGACCCGTGGCCATGTCGCGAAGCAAAATCCCTACTTCCAATGTGTTGAAAAGGAACCCCGCGGAAAGCCAGCACCTGGAGTAGTAAAACAAAGGTCTCCAGCAGAGCCCAGTGCTATGGTCATCTACTGGGTCAAAAGGGTCACAGTTGGTCTGCATGGCAAGTTTCCCAAACGGCAGTGTGTCGGCAAGAGAGATGTTCTTTGAAGCCCGCACACCAAAAACAAGATGCAACAAAACCAGCTGTCTAGCCAAGTTGACGTTTATGAATTTAATGGCTTCTTACCGCACCTGTTTATGGGTGCGACCGTCCAATAGCTAGCCTTGACTTACCTGGGTTTCGATTGCGGCTCTAGTTGAACCCTTTTCATCGACATTTTGCTTCAACTCTCCAGCGCCTTGGATGGTTTCGGGAAAACCTTAACTACGTGTTTGGCACCCAACGGTACCCTTTGCATGTTGGTTCACAGAGCAACCAAAAGAAAAACCACTGTTTTGACGGGGTCCCCGCTTGTTGACGCTGAATTCAATTACCCACATGGGGGCGGGAATGCCAACCAAATTTGCTGGGCCCATACCCAGCACCACCCCATCCATTCCACGGCGAGTCCGGGGCCTTGGGAGCGCCTGTAACCAATTCCTCCTCCACAGGTTCCGAAGGCGATTGCCCACCAGCCTCGGTTTTCTCTCGGCTGGGTTCTCTCGAGGCCAAGAACGAGATGGAGAAGCACACCACGAAAAAAATCACGTGAAATGGCGGGTGGCGTCAACTCATGGTCCTTCTGGAAAAAAAAACTCGTTTAGGGGGCAGAATAGGAGACCCCTTTCGAAATGAACTTGTCCTTCTAAGGGTGGTTGTCTTCCTATATGTTTCAACACCATCAAGGGATCCTTCACTTTGGGACAAGACCCGTCTGAGACCTGCTTGGCGAGCGGCTTGCACGATGTAGGGTTCTGAAGGGTTTCAATGTCGGCCTGCGCGGGTTCCAGTCGCCTTGACGCCGTGAAGCCACTGACAACTGCCTTCACCTCTCTCAAACCAAAGTCCAAACGAACTCTTGGGCCATCCCCTCACAAGCCAAGGCCGTCCAAGGGCGCATCCAAGCGCCTTGATGGACTCCTCCGTCACTTTGCCCAGGGAGGTGTCCTGGGCGCAGGCGTCGCAGAGGTCGAAGCCCGTCACGGGGCAGTGGAACCGCGAGTGGTACATGTTGGTCTGATGGAAGTCCTGGCGCGAGTGAGCCATCCAACAGGCAAAGACCCGTGGCACCCTCTAAAGGCTAGCAGGAGACGCCTAAGTACCTGGTTTCGTGCCCCACTTGGAGGCCCGGCCTTGAGAAAATGGAATCTGCTTGGTTTTGTCCCCATGAGACATGCCAACCATTCAAGGCTCAGTCATTCAATTGGCCTCTATGAATTGTTGGACCCCTGGAAGGCCATGAGGCTGGCTCGGCAAAATCGCCAACACCTTGGATTGAGATATCGTGATGGGAAATAAATCCGAGGAACAAATGAAAATTACCGCTGCATTGCTTCATCTCCGAGGATCTGCTTGGAGCAACATGTGCTCTACATGCACCTCGCGTATCATTGATGGCATGTAGTGCCTTCAACTGACCTTTCAACTGCTGGTTTGTTCATGCAAACTGCCCCGCTGGTAATACATCTAGAAGAAGGTGAGCCCAACATGCATGGCTGCTCATATCCTTGCAAGTAAAAGAGACGCGTGTGGCAGAACACAGTCCAGGACTAAATTACCAAGGACTGCCCACGGGCCACGAAGTGAAAAGCAAAAGAGCAAGCTTCAAACATGTGATTACCCGCTTCCAAGCCTCTCCCCCAAGCGTGTTCTCGTTACCCGGTTTTCCCCCTGCATGTAACGCGACGTAGTAGTAGCGCTGAAAGAAAAGCTTGAGAAGTATCCTCCACATGGGCCGAAATTCATCCCTGCCCGCAACCTGTGCGCGGGACTGTTTTGCACTCATACGCCTGTTGGACTCCACACTTTCGGCTGGTGGCTTTTCCAAATGTTTCCTGGCGTTTCGTCTGCATGATGCTTCAAATGTCAGCGCCAATGTCATGACATTCCGCGTCGGTTGCCGCTGCCCGTGGGCAGGAAGTGCATTTTCATTGAAGAAAATCCTGTCAGCTACAGGGCTGGAACAATGTTTTATTCAGCAATATGCTTGTGAGAGCAGCGAAAACTGAACTATGAGCAAAGGCTAGGGGCCAAACATCCACAGGGAGTCCAAAAAAGCGGGAAAAAACAGGAACGGCGAGCCGCCAACTGTCATGGCTCAAAAGAATCTGTCAGCGAGGAACGGATGGGCCCAAGCCCCAATCAGGCACTGGATGACGGTGAAGTTCCCGCGACAGCCGCCAGTGAAGTCTCGGCCGTCACAGACCTAAGCATCTGCTGCCGGCAGTCCGACTCAGTTGACCAGTAGCAAGCAAGCAAGCAAACAAGCAAGGAAGCAGGGAAACAAGGAAGCTGAGAAGCAAGCAAGGAAGCAAGGAAGCAGGGAAACAAGGAAGCTGAGAAGCAAGCAAGGAAGCAAGGAAGCAGGGAAGCAAGCAAGCAAAGAAGCAAGGAAGCAAGCAAGCAACCAAAGACAGGCAAGCATGCCAGCCAGCCAGCCAGCCAGCCAGCCAGCCAGCCAGCCAGCCAGCCAGCCAGCCAGCCAGCAAGCAAGCAAGCAAGCAAGCAAGCAAGCAAGCAAGCAACACAGCCCGCAGTCCTCCCCGCCCCTTGGGCTGCGATGTATCCAGTCACCAACCATTGAGGGTATCTCGCATCTCAATTTCATGCCCTTTAAAGACACTGCTCGGCTATTGCTGCAATATGTGACAATACAACTGTGTGAGTTGGTTTCTTAGTTTGAAGATCCGCCAATTCTGCTTATCAAAGTAAATGTCCCCATGGTGTCAAAAGGAGGTGATGGAATTAGTGTTTCTGATGTGTCTGATGATTCGCGATGTTTATGTTGGAATGCGATGGCATATTGAAAATTCAGCATGATTACAATAGACAGGATTGTCAGATATATGATGTCACAGTTGCAACAAATGAATATCCAAACGTTCGAAATGGGTTATCACATCCCGAACAAAATGAGGAGGGACACCAAATCATGCGACTTTTTCTCATATGAAGTATGACTTCATGATAAAAACCAAAAAACACAAATTTCAGTGACTTAATTCTGTGACTTATTCACATATCATATAAGATATGACTTTCCTATTTGCACCACCGCAAGATGCTTCTTTCGGCTGGGGCCCCGAGCCCACCCCCCGGCGGAGAAGCTGCGCTGCAGCGGCCGCGTGTGAACCCAAGCCTGGCGTGGGGTTTGCCCTTCCCGGCCAAAAGGGGCCTCTCCCGAAGAACTGTTTGAGGCATTTGGCCATTGGTCAAAAGCTCGCACCCCCAGTGAACATCCCAATCCCCACTATAACAGACTAAAATGGGTGCCAAAATGGTACCATTGGTTTTGACCCACAGCCATTTGAGGCAGAAAACCACCATCCATCCACCCATATGAGCACAAAAAGGGGGGGCCCAGATTTGGCAACAGCCGATGTCGAGTGGTTCATTGACATGGAAGAGATGAAGTCTGAACTTGACAGACTTTTAGATTAGAGTTCTCCCGAAAAGATGTAGAGCACAATTCGAGGCATTTGAGGCAGAGGACAGAACTTAGTGGTAAACATGATGCAACCAGCGAAGCAGGGAAGCCAGTACAAACTGAGAGGCCTCAAAACGTCGAAGTTGGTGTGGCTCTGTCAAGAATGGGGATGCCCACAGCAAAAAAGCAAACCACGAAGAAGCGCCCCAGATTTGTCCCCCAAAAAAATACACTCCCCATTTGAGACTCTCGTGGAACACCCTGAGCTTCTCACCCTCGGCCTGCTGCACTCGCCGCCGCATCCAAGGCCCCAAGGGCACCTGGCGCAGCTCAAGAAGTTGCAGCCCGGAACATCTTGGGGCGAAAGGGTCCTGTTTGCTGTCGGTTTTTCTGATATATTTGATGTTCATGCCCAACTACGGGCAAATATTTGATGAAACGTGTGCGTCCTATTTGGGCTGAAGGTCTAGTCCTTCGCTGAGAAATTGGCCAATTGGCAACTTGGCCACGCCCAGCCTGGTAGCGGCTGCAGCGGCCCAAATGGCCCACCAAGGCGATCATGCCCACATCCACGTTCACCTGCGGCATTTGGGGTATGAATGTCAATTGGGGACCTTTTTCTGGACATCATAAGCGGGTTGACGTCCCGTTTTTGAGATCCCTATTGAAGACACTGCCATTTAAGTTGAACTGCAAGCGTCTACAAGATCTATCAGCCCCGGACTGACATGCTCCAGATGGAAGGGTCGTCTCTAGGTATCAGTCTCAAACTGAGCTGTACTGGAAAGAACCACTCATATCACCAATCCTGAGCAGTGCCCACAATGTGAAGCTGAACTTTGCAGCTCTCTGCCTGCTCCTCCGCGTAGTGTGTATCCAGAAACCGAATCACCAGGAATCGGCCCTCCTGCCACCTCACAAACCAGGGGTCTGGCTCTGGCCCTAGCAGTGTCTCTGTGGCTCTAGGGAATGACTGGAGCCCCACGGAACTGGTTGATTGCTGTTGGTGTCCCTTCAAACCAAGCTGAAAAGGGTGCCCTTAACAAAAAACACGACGCGCCAATTTGGTTGGAAGGCATGGAAAGTCCGAGGCGCTGAGGCAACTCCAGCTCGGCTTCCCTGGACTCCGAGTCGGTTTGGAAGCGCATGGGCCTCGGGAGCCCGAAACTCCCTGCATTCGTGCTTTGTGTATTCCCCAACCGAAAGCCTCGGAGTCTCTGGTAAGCTTCCGGATGGCGGGGATGCTAGGTTGGGTTCCGGAAGGTGCCACGGAGCATGGGGCTCCAAAGGGCTCTCGCGAAGGTCTGGGGCGGTTTTTCGGAGGGGTTCCAAGGGAGTGTCCGGAGCTGAGGGCTCGGGTTTTCGGGTTCCTCCGGTTGGGCGCGTTGTTCTTGGTTTTCGGGGCAGCGAGTCCTTCAGCCATCTCTCAGCTTGAAAGCCATAGCTAACTGGGTTCCCGCATCTCGCCCGCAATCGTGATGCGTTACATAAAAGGAGGAAACCACCAAAAAAGTTGAGTTTCAGCACTAAATTTCAAAGTGTCCCACGGTCATTTTGGGGCCAGGAATATTGATCAACCCTCCGCATGACTGTTTTGCAACAATGAGCTTGTAACGGCAACCTGCTGTCAGTGCTGTGGCTGCAAGAAGCTGTGACTCATCTTCGGAAGAGAACTACCAAGCCACAAGCATCACAACCGTCGTGTCTGTTGGGGTTAGAAATGTCAACCTGGAACGTGTAGAAAAACCAAAGAGAGCCGTGCACAACAAACACAACGCTGGCCATCCGAAAGTACCATCCCTGAGGCGTGAGCAGGCCCATCGCATCGGCCTTCTCCTGCGAGGGACTTTAGTCTTCCTGCTTTGAGAACCGCCCCTCAAACGAGTTGGCACATGGAAAGGCGGGTGGACTCATCCCGCTGTTAGGCAGCGAGTTCCGGAAGCCGAAAGGGTTGGCTCGGATCTGTCCTGCGGCAGAGCCTGCAGCTCTTCACAGCTAAGATCGTCGTAGGCGCTGGTGATCTCCAGGTCCTCCGGTGCACCGAACGATTCCTGTCAGCTAGCGGTCTTTCTCTGGGAAGATTCCTTTCAGCCGTGTGGTCCTGTGGAATGGATGCGTCTTCCTTATCAGGGGAACCAAGAAGTTCCGGCTGGTTCCTGCATTAGGTCATTAGGTTGGTTTCTGCAACACTTCTTCTAGACATCCAGCGCAGGAGAGTCAAAAACAGGTCCGCAGGCCTACATATTGCTAGCCCTTGCAACTCTGTGTTTGTCCGTTTTGGAGCCGCTATCAAGGCAAAACGGAACAAAGATGCTCATTACTGGATGCACAGCTCGGCACGGGAGAACCACGAATTACGTGTAAACGCACAGACTTGGCGAGGGATCTTATCATGGCGTCGCGGGGTCCCCAAAAGCAACCTTGGCTGTGGTGCAGTCAAATTGAAACGCAGCCAATGATGTCAGTCGAAGTGGCTGATTCCCAAACAGGCATCTGACCTGAGGTTTTGGTTCACACACACTTGGATTGCAATCCAACCCCTTGCAAACAGTCAGCTTAAGTCGCAAGCTCTTTTCTTGCACGCCATTCCAATGCTCTGGCCAACTTGGCCTTTGAAGTCAGACTCTGACAGGGCGAGCGTGAATTTGGTCTGCCAAGCTGGTCCTGTCTTCTGTCTTCAGGATTCGGAAGCGCCAAGCAGCAACAAGGTATCAGCCAAGTTTAGATGGCGGCGAAAGGGAAACCGAAGGGATACCACCCATTTTGAGTGCTCGCTGCTCTTGCGGTGTGTCTGGTGGGAAAGGGCGACATCCCCAGCCTCCCCCCCCCTGCCCCCCGCCGCACCTCTGGCAACTCGCTGCATACCCAAACCAGTCCGCTCCTGGCGCCATGCGCGTCAGAAAACACCGCGACTGGCATTCTTGGGCAAGCTGTGCAAATGGAACTCGATGTCACTCTGTCGCGGTCGGCTGTCGCAAGAACGACGAATTCGATCGTCTTTTCAAGGGTCCCTACTTGGGTGTGGGTCAAAAATGGGTACCGCAAATGGAACCCTAGTAAATGGAAACTGAAACCTGCGGTCCCTGGTGAATTAATTTTGACCCATACCCACTTCTTCACCTCGCTCCTGATCGGCTCGGTGCATCTTGGACCCGGCCCACTGATATAGAAGTGTGTCAGAGTGAAGTCCTGGTTCAGAGACCGTATGTGGATGCTTGCGCACCCCGAACTTCTTGCCAACAGCTCAAAGCAAAAAATAGTCACACGAACAGCATGTTGTTGTTGATGCCCAAAGTCCCACAGGCAGGGAAATTCTTGCCAGCGCAGCCCGTGTGGGGCAAAGCCCTTGAATATGATGCATTGCTTGGGTTCCCTCATAGGCTTCTGCAAGGATTGAGTACTATCCGCAAGCCCCAACCCCAATAAAACAGTCCCAAGATGCTACAAGCACTTGCGATGCCATTCTCGCAACAATCGGGACCGGAGCTTGGTGACTCCTCTGCACACTTCAGGATGAGGTTGAACTTGCAGCCCCTGGCAACGGGACTTTTCCCCAAATGTGCAAAGCCAAACGCTGCCTGTCGGAGCAGTGAAAAGGGTCCAGGGTCGGAATCAGCACCTGGCAGGAAAGCGACAGTGCCTTTCCCCCGAATCTGAACTACGACGCTCGCAGTTGAAAGAAGCACATGATGAGAAAGCCAACTGCAACTAAGTTCAGCAAACACGTAGTCATTAATTGCAGTCGAGTGACATGCTTCACATCGTACTGGCTTCCTCAGATGAGATCAACAAACATATGGTCCTTCCGGAAATGAGAATAGAGCAACTTGCAGGCGGAAAGTGTTTCAACCGCCGGATGTGTTGAACCATGCCCCCCAGCGCCGGTGTTAAATAAACAACATACTACACATACACCTGCGAGCAAGTGTGTGGCGCGCTGAGAAAGCTGCGGCTCTGCTGGGATCCGCCGTTGTAAGAGTGCACCACAAACTTCTCCTGGCATGCGACTTGGCTTCAAAGCTTCAAATGGGCCTAAGCGACGCCGGCCCCACGTTCAAAAGTACAGGTGCCGTCTCGGCTCTTGGATCCTTCGTTGCAGCCTGCAACACCGCTTCACGAAGCGAATGCAAATGCGCGCACGTCAAGCGCATCCGGGGTCTGTGCATCGCTGTCTGCGACAAAGGCAGGCCTAGGACAAGGCCACTGGCGAAGCCGGAAAGGCTCGAAAGCGCTGAGCATACCGCATTCGATCTCTGGGCCGCCGTGTAGATCGGCCCGACACCGAGGGCTGGCGCATCCCAAGGTGCTCAACTCTTCGCTTTCTTGTCGGTCTGCATGTACACACACATAAAGAGACACACGCAAGTCCCTGCCTCTGAATGGAAATTCTCGTGTTGGCCGAAGGGAAAGCCTAGTAGTGCGCAACGGCTGTGTAGGTATGAAGCGTCCCGGCACTTCCGCTCTGGTCAGGACATGTAATTGCAGCTATGATTGAGCAATGCCAGTGGGGAACTCCTTTGTGCTGTTGGGCAAAGGTTCACTTTTTGCGGCCCCTCCAGCCCCCGTCCTTCGTTGACAAGCTGTGAGCCACCGACAAGCGCGGCATACAAGAACCCACGATTTCTGTTGACGCCAGCAAGGACCACATGTCTTGACATCCGTTGATCAACCCAGTGTTGTGCACTGTGTGCACGAGTTTCGGAGACCCTTGTCCTTTTCCCACTGCCCAAGACTCTGACATGGGAAACTTGCAGAGTGTGCCCTCTCCTGTTCTGTGACTGGTCGAAGTGGTCAAATAATGTAGAGAGTGGATGGCATGGGGCCAAGCTCATATCACCACTACCAACGGATTTACAGGCCCGACATTCATAGGCAGGGGTGGCATTCGCACCAGCGGAGTATTTCCGGCTAATCCCACCCCAGCCGCCCATGTAGCGACGTAACGACATAGCGCGGAAGGCGCGATCTTTTTATCTGCTCACCGGCGGCGGGCGCCCGCGCCTGGCGAGTGAACCTCCAAACCTCATGGGAGCCACATGGAAAACCAATTTACAGTGACCCCAGGTGCCTATCCTGCCAGACGGAAGCCAGGCAATGGGAGGAAGCACTGCGTGTTAAGCCACCTGTCGCCCGCCTCCCCCCCTCTGCCAAACAAACACATAGGCTGCTTCACTGCGCAAAAGCTATCCAACCTATACTCTTAGAAAATATGAGCCCATCAAAGCCATCAATTCAACATCTAGCCTGGATGCCTGAGAGGACTGGCTATGGCCAAGATGTCGTACACAGCGCAGGCTGAACAGACCCAGCTCTCTAACGAAGCAAAACCCACCGAACCTTGGAACCGCTCCGGCCTTTTCCTGCATTGCCTGCAGTCCACGTCCTGGGCTCTCGGCTCAAGGGGCGCGCACCTGGAAGCCGGTCCGAAGGGCTTGGAGCCTTCCGAGCTCTTGGGCCCCACTCGGAACGAGGAAATTGGAAAAAGTTTCAGTGGCAAAATGGCGATGACTTGGAAGGGGAGGATTGACCAGGTCTGGACTAGCACCAACACATTTTCTCGCGATGGGAAACGGAATGTAGCACCCGTGGTCCCTCTCAGAGCTGTCCCACACGGAAGTCGGCACCTGTTGACCTCCCTCCTTCGTTCCGCTCGCGGCGGCCAGCGCTGGCACCGCGGCGGGGAGCAGCCCCCTTTCCAGCCTAACAGGATGACCCTTGCGAGCCATGATTCATTCTCTTTGTATGGGTCGTGGTATGGGTCGTGATCAGACATATCAGAGTACCTCCTTATGGTGAACCAAAATCGCCAGTGAACCCGCGTGCTGCAAACCCAGTAGATGCGACAAGAACGATGGCACAAAGGCAAACACGGCCCATACCATCCCTGGCCTGCGGTTGCGAGGCGCTCACCTGAGCAGCGCAAGAACTACGAGACCCATCCGCGGACCCAGACACACACACACACACACACCATGTCTTGCTCATGACCCTCATGAAGGCTGGCGAGAAAACCTCGGCATGAGCTCAGCACTTTTCGGCCAATCGACTTTGGCGCCGCTTTTGGGGCAGCACCTCACACAGGTCACGGCTCGGACATCGGACAATTTGCGGATCCGATGCACGAGGCGCCTTTCGCATCTGACTCGGTCAGGGCACCAGGCAACATGCTGTTGGGAGCCTGCCTGACCCTGGAGGAGGCGCTCGCAAATGTTTTGCAAACAGTTCCTGCGGGCTGGCGATTCGATCAGCATGGCCAAGCGCAGTACGCAAACTGGCAAGCTCCTGCAGGAGAAGGACGGCTTGTGCGTTGCCGGACCTGACCAAGACCGAGCTGAAATCAAAGATCCTGGCAACAAGCAGGACACTGGCTGCATCATTGCCAGGACCGGTGGGTTCCCCCTAGTCACTAGTCTTTCGCAGGTTCCATCCCTCCACTACGCCTGTCATGGGGAGCTTGCATACAATGCGCATCGCTTCAGAAACAGGTAGGCCAAATAACCTCCGCCATTCCCAATGGCACCGCAAAATTCTTGCCCGATGGTCTCAGTCGGTGAGTTTCAAGTTGGGCAGCTTAAAGGTTATCCCCTTAGGCGGACATTTGCCGATGGAGCTGCCGCAGGCCTTGTGCCTGCAACCGTCAGCTGGTGCACCTCGCGGTGTTGGTCCGTGCTCCTCCCCCCCCCTCCTTGACGTGTTTGTTTGTTTGTTTGCGAACCCCCCCCCCCATAAAAGTCGCCTTTTGTTTGCCAGCGGTTTTTCAGCCCTGATCTCTTGCCTCACGGAAAGGCTCGTTACGAGCAACACGCGGGCCTCGGAACTGCGCCCGCCCAAGCCCAGGAGATGGACCTCAATCTTGGACCTCGGGGACCGACGGTCAAGCGGAGGATCCGTTGGGGTGCCAGCTGCTTTGTGCCTGGACATGTAATGGGCACGGCGCAAAGTTCGCTAGGAAAACTCTGTGTGTGCTCGGAAACCAGCCTGTTGAAACAGAAAAAGAGGTGCGTTGTGACAGGAACGGGCGGCGCCTACGTCTTTCTGGTGCATGCGCAAAATGGCACACTTTTTGGGCTCACCTGGACACAAGCCAAAAAGAAAAGGCACCAGCTCCACAACACAGGGATACACCAACACCAACCTTCCACTTGCACCCTCTCTCGCCCACCCCCACCCCGCAACCCCCCCCCCCCTCCCCCCGGCCCCGCTGTGAGTGCGCAGCCCACTCTGCTGCTCCAACTGCCGCAGACGCGCTCGGGGCACCTGGCGCAGGCCGCCTGGTGCCTGGTGTGGTGGCCCGAGCCATTCCGCGTGGCCTGTGTCTGCACCCGAAACCAGGTGACCACGTGACCCTTGGACGAACTGTTCATGCCTGAACATCGCATCTGCCTGGGATCTTTATCGAGCATCCTCCCCTCCCGCAGGGTGTCGTTGGGGCAAAAGGGCCGCATTGGTTTAGGATTGGATTGTTTGCTCAGGCTTATCAAGGGTAAATTAGGATTGGTTCAGGGTTGCTTTGGGATGGAGCGATTGTGTGGGGATGCTTGAAGGCTCGCGTTCGGGCTTCCTGTCTTTGCGGCTCCAGCTCAGTCCTGCGAGTGTCTCTGCGCTAGATGCCGCAGCAACCTCTGCAGAAGGAAGAAGCGCAAGGAAACTAGGCCACGTCAAGCCGCACTACGCCTCAAGAGGCACCGCCAAGCCCTTTGGGCTCAAAGCGAGGTCATGAGCCTCACGCTCGAAAAGCTTGCATTGCCACCACGGCAGAGCTCCCAACCCCGGCCAGGAGCCCGATCCACAGGACCACGTGGCCGATCCAGGGCCCAACGTACATACGCTCCCTCTTCTTCTGCGCGACGCGGATGTAGAAGAGGCCGGGGAAGCAAAAAGTGATAAGGCCCCCACAAAACCCGCCGGTGAGCCCAAAGACAACTGACAAGTCTGGCAAAAGCCATCCCAGAAACACGCTCGTCACTACCAGCATCAGCGCCAGAAGCTGCCGCGTCAGTCGGGAAGCGCTGGGCGGCCGGCACTTGGAACTACGGCTGTCCTGGCGCTGAAATTCCCCCTCCCCCTTGAGGTACTCCTCGGCTGGCCACCGGTATGGTGTGGCGAAGACTGTGGGCGAGGAGGAAGGACTGGTATGAAGCGCCTGGCTCCATGTAGCCATGCGTCAAAATCCCATACCCCCAGTGAACATAGCTGAAATGGGTGGTGCACCTACCCCTTGGCTTTGACCCACATCCATGTCTGGTTCTTTCAACAAGCTCTGCCCAACCCTGCCTGATAGTCCTCATCCTCGTCCGGGTGAAGAAGGGAGTTCAGCTCCCAGTGCAAACGGTGGATAGATTGAACACAGCTAAAACACATCACAGGAAAGGATGTGAACATCACCAGCGAGTATGCCGCCGTTATGTACGATGCCCACACCAGATCAGGCGCCTGCAGATTCGTGAGAATATCTGGGGCTGTAACGCTCTTGTAGGAAAAGTATCCGAACAGAGCAACAAACACGTAGGCAGTGAAGCAAAGCGTACTGCTGAAGAACATAGCAAACATCATCTTGTCCTTCTTGGTGCGGAACTTGCTGTCAACCTCCTCATAGGTCTTCTCCCTCAGCTCGGCATAGAAGATAGGCACGTTCATGTTGCAGGTGTAGGCGAAGATGAGCACCGGCACTTGGGCGGTGAAGTCCCAGCCACTGTCGCTCCAGTACTTCACCGGCCCGCCGCGAGGTCCGTCGCCCGGTTCGGTCGCGTAGATGGCGAAGAGGTACAGAGCCAGGCAGAAGATGGTGACGACGCAGACCAACGAGGCGTGCCGCAGCGCACCCATGTTGGGCAGGGCGCCTCGAGTTGTTCGACACCCGAAAAGACAGCTGGACATTCTGCTATTGTTGGGGGTCATGCTGGTACAGGTCAAAAAAAAATGAAGGTCAAGAGTTGAAACCAAGAATGTGTGGAAGGTCACACTAACGATGTGTGGAGGGGCTGAGAGGATACAGCACCAAGCACGACAGGGCCAGCACCAGGGCCCTGTCCTGCAGAAGCTCCGGCGCCCGCAGGAAGCTCAGAAACGGCGGCACGATGTCTCCGATGATCATCACATAGGACACCAACACCCCGAAGTTGTACAAGATAATGGTGAAATCAACCCAGATCTGGGCCTGTCCCACATCGAAGCGAAACAGACAACAACAACTCTTCAAGTGGCTAGCCACGAAACGAGTCGGATCACTTCTTTCCGCCTTTCCCCTCCTCTTTTCCATCATTTCCCCTCGTCCCTTTCCCCGGAACCGCCTTCTGGCCGTAGAGCACCCCGGCCACCTCCGCATAACTCTTCTGACGGCTCTCCTCCATGGCGATGAGCAGCATCCACACCGTGAGGCAGCCCAGCAGCGCCGCCAGCACCAGCAGCCCGCACCCCGGCACCAGGCCCAACTTCTCCATGGCGTTGGGCAACCCCAGGATGCCGCCTCGAAGCTTCCGTTACGAGATAGCTGTGCAAACTTGGCAGGTGGCTGAGAAACTGCGCACCGGGCCGGTGCTTGGCTCCCATCCCTTTTGATTCTCCAGACAGGGTCTTCCACACAAGTGTGTTCTTGCGGTACGAGTACCTCTCCGTTGGTCTGTGTTTTTTGTTAGGAGCTTCCCTAAGTTTGGTCTTTTGTTAGGCCTGCTCGCTCGGCGGTTTGCTCACACTGAGAAACACACAAACACACACACACACACACACACACACACACACACACACACACACACACACACACACACACACACACACACACACACACACACACACACACACACACACACACACACACACACACACACACACACACCCACACACACACACACACACATGGACACATTGCCGTGATCATGGATGTGGGTCTCGCTCATCTTTCTTTGGCGGCTCGGATCCAGAGCCGAACGTGTGTGGTTTTGGAGGGAAGACACGCGTGTCATTTCGACTGCGGCTCACGCAGAAGTTGTTGATGCGTAGAGTTTTCGCTGTGGTGCCGGCCGAGTTTGGCAAACTGTGGCTTGGTGCCTCCTTTGCAGGTGGGTTGGATCGCTCTGGGTGCAGTTTTTGCAACATCTAACGCCTCGCGGACTTTCGGTGCATCGGATCCCTGGTGTCCCTTGTTTGGTTTGGCGTGGCGTTTGCGTCGCTCTCGCTGTGGCGCGGTGCGAACTTGGAACACCGAGGGTGGCTCTCTTGAAACAAAGGGTAGACACTAAAGGGCCTGAGCCCAAAGGCGCTTCAAGTCCGATCGAAAATTCCCGAGTGCAGTTGGCAACCAGAGAGAAACCACTGACGGCGCCAACGATTGACGGAGAAACGGCCTCCCATGATGGTGTTGGAGATGTTGAAGATGGTGAAGCGAAGGCCCGTACCCTGCGATAGCACCATATTCTCAGGAGATCGCAGCTCCGGCGTTGTGCCGTTCGTGCGGTTCTCACCTTTCGAACCGTTGCCGCACATGCCGTTGGCGTTTGCTTGGATGGCGCCGTTGTTGCCACAACTAATGGCATGGGCATCCGTATCCGGGTCGCCCA